TACAAAGAAAATGTTTTGAAAATGATTGGCAACATATGTACAAATGTGCTTGACACAATGGGTATATGTATGGAATGTGATAAGAGCTGTTAGAACCCCCAATAAAATGATTTTTTTAAGACATAGTAATTTGTGTTCTTGCACATCCTCTCCCCTGGACCAGAAGTTCATATCCTTATCGCAACATCTGAGACAGGTGATGACTGTTTGTAGACTGAAGAAAAGACAGCAATGGGCTATGTAGAGGAGGTCACTCCTGCAGCCCTTGGAGCCGTCATTCAATGGGTGCGGAGGGCCCGTCACCTGGAGTCTGCACCCCTGCAGGGAGGCATTTGCTCGATGCTCACTGGTGTCATGTGTGCCAAATGTGGTGCCAGTGTCTCGTCCTACACTTTCATTCACCATTTCCATAGTCTCAGTGTCTTTTGAAGGGAACCGCGTAAGGTAATATTTAGATTCCTATGGTGGCGACATGGTTTCTTCATGTCATCCTATGTCTTGGTTTTTTTGGAAAACAGCTTGCCTTTCTTTCCTCTAAACCCTACCGTTCTGCCTTTGCCCTCGTTTTCTACCCAGGGGGTCTGTTACTTTTACTCTGGTTGATTTACATTTCCTGGATAAACTATAAACAACTTGGCCTGATGCTTTCTGTCTGTCTCTGGAGTGCAGCCTGCCCTGTGATTGGTACCCACCCTTCAAGGATTGCTTGATAGACTATGACTTGAGCAGTAGACTAGCTGCACCTACTATGCAAACGGAATGTCTGTGGCTTGCTGAGAGGGGACTGGCCAGTGTGTGGCCTTGATGGAAGGACCATGCTTTGAAATGTAGGAGGAATTTGTAGATATGAGCAGCCAGCCCCAAGGAAGTTTTTGATAGTCAGTAAGATGCAAGAAAGTAGAAAGCAGTAGAGAAAGAGAATAAACAAAGAACCTCCTAAAAGACCTTTAACCCTGGAAATAGCAAAAGGCCTGGCAGGGGTCCAGCAGTGCAGCCAGGGGCAACAGGCCAGCAGAGACTCAGTGGCAGAATTGGTGGTGAAAAATGGCAGGGCTGAGAGGACCCTGTTCTGAGGGGGCGAAGAAGAGACCTGTCCTCCACTGAAGAAGGGATGCTTTACTTACATACTTGCTGGTCCTGACTCCTGACATGCATTCTATTGATCCTGATCCTAACTTGTAATGTATTCCTTACGAAGCCACTTAATTGTAAATATGGTCTGAGCGTTCTATGTGGCCACTGCAGAAGATTATCCAGCCAGGAAGAGAAGCAGCGAGTTCCATGGGAGGGATGGCGGGGAGAGGATTAGTAAAAAGGTTTGAGAGTAGAGGCAGGTTTGACCTTCATCTCATAGGGATCAGCCTCTCCCACCAGGCCTCCTCGTGAAGTGAGACAGTTCTGATGATGCTATCACCACCAGCTCTACGACTACTAGGATTTGACACCGACTTTACCCTTGGAGGGGAGCCTCGGTGGCGTAGGGATTACACATTGGGCTGCTACCAGCAAGATCAGTAGTTCAAAACCACTGGGTATTCCTTGAGAGAAAGATAAGGTTTCCTTTTCCTGTAAAGCCTTACAGCCTCAGAAACCCACAGCGGCAGTTCTGCTTTGCCCTACGGGTTTCCATGACTTGGAATAAGGTCGATGGCAGTGAGTCTGGGTTTTCTTTTCCTTTTCTTTTTGCCCTAGGGAGGGGCTTGCATGGGGCTTTTGGTTTTGAATAGCTCATAGACTTCTAAGCAGCTTTCCTCGTGTTTTGCATTCCTGACTCGTGTGGGAACAGACCAGGATGCCCTTGGTGGGATGGTACAGAGAGGTTCCTGTTCCAGCCGTTGCTGAATCAATAACCCTAAGTCTACTGCACCACATGCCATCTTTCATTCCTATCTCAAGCTCACACCTCCCAAACACCCAGAGCAGCTTCAGTTACCTTTCAGAAGTCAGCCACCACCTCCCCTCCCCAGGCCTTCCCTTGACCACCCAGTTTTGAACTCACTGTATTGACCTCAAATGCCCAGCATTCATTGCCCTTTTGGTCACTTGTGCCATTCCCATTAGACTCCACGTTCCATGAGGTCAGACACTGGGCCTAGTGGTTTACCTCTCTGTATCCCTAGCAGCTAGCCAGGGATTGACACATAATGTGTGCTTTTTAAGTCGTTGTTGAATGAATACTGAGCTCCCTGATTTTCATCCTCAATATCTGTTTAATGTTAGTAATAATTCCTTGTATATACAATGTTTGCTGAACAGTATTATAGGTGAATGTCCCAACTGTGTGTGTGTGGGGGGGGGACTACAAGCAATATTATATTATTCCCCTTATTTCCCAGAAACGGAGACATCATCAATGAGGTTGGGTGACTTGTCCGAGGTGGTGGAACCAGCGTCAGAACCCTAATGACAACCTGCATTTGAACTGACTGCAAACTCGGCATCACATCCCAGCTGCTGGCCAGACACCCTGGCAGCCTTGTAGACCCCTGGATAGCTAGAGGCAAACAGCAGGGAAGGAAGATGCAAATGTCAAGCTGCGGATTATTTTTCTTTTCTCCACTCTCTGCTTGCTACCTAATAGGCTCAGCAGCCTATGAGGGGGCAGGGACCCTCAAGCAGGAGCATCTCTCTCGATGCCCCCAGGTTTGGCCAGAGAGTTTGTGAGGCCGGTGAAGCCTGACCTTCTGGAGTGGAGAGAGACAGTGAGGAATTCATCCACACCATTATGTACCTGTACATCCGGACAAAAAACACACGATGGCACCTATGAGGTCAACGGCGGGAGCCGCTGCCACTTAAACACGCACAGACACGGGTGCACACAGACTTGGTGGACACGTCGTTGTTCTAACTTACCTCGAGCCCATGCACAACAGAATGAAACCCTGCAACGTCTGGCACCACCTTCACAGTTGTTGCTGTTGGAGCTCATTGTTGCAACGACTGGGTCACTCCATCTCCGTGAGCGCTTCCCTCTGCTTTACCAAGCAGGATGTCTCTCTCCAATGTCTGGACTCTCCTGATGCCACGTCCAAAGTCAGCTGGAAAGGCCTCATCACCCTTGCTTCTAAGGAGCATTCTAACCGTACTTCCTCCAGGAACATTGTGTCCAATCTTCTTCTGGCAGCCATGAGCGTTCTTTGCTAACACTGTAATTTGAATGCAGAAATTCTTTTCCTCTTTCGTTTTGGTCTTCCATCATTGTCCAGATTTCCTATGCATCTGAAGTGATTGAAAGTTCAGGTACACGTTAGATATCAAAATGATATCTTTACATTTTAGCATTTTAAAGAGGTTTTTGCAGCAGATTTGCGTAGTGCAGTATATAATTCGATTTCTTGATTTCAGGAACATGCACTTTAGCATGTGGTTATGCACCTTCCATACATATCCAGCCACTACCATGCGTAGCAGAAACGAAGCTATACTTCAATCACACACAAGCCTGCAATCTTGGGGATGTGTATATCTGCCTACATGCAGGAGCTGTTATGCATGTTGCACACACTCACACACGCACATCTAAACACGATTCGTAATCTTCAATATATGCACTGAGATGCAACGATTCATAATCTGCAGCATATACACAGTACCAGAGGTGTAGCTATAGAAAATAGTGCCTATGGCAAGCAGTGAAATTTTGTTCTTGCAAAGACTAGAGAGGGTATCAAGAGCCTAGGGGGCAATCTCTACATTTTAACAGCCCCCTCCTTTCCCATTGCAAGAAAAGATCCTGCTAGAAAGTGCAGTCAGCAAAGAGGCCTCTCCCTCTAGTCCAGGAGCTTCAGCAAGCTTCTTTCACATCTGTGGCTCCTCAGTTGCCACTCCGAGTTCTTGCAGCCCACTCACCCGCACCCCACGTCTCTGTGTCGCCAGCACTGGAGGAAGGCCACTGGGCAGAACGGCGTTTAATGGGCACTGCTCAGGGGCGCCCAGGGTACGCGCTATGCCTACCCACCTTAGATGTGTCTCTGCTCAGTCTATAGGAGGGAAACATATGTTCACACGCACTCTCAAATCCGCACGGGGGCAAATGCTCACAAGCACGCGCGCACAGATGTCTCCTCAGACACAGGCACGCAACTCAGTTCTTGCAGATTCAACCACTCTGGCGAGTAAACCGTCCAACACACACACACACACACACACACACACACACACACACACACACACAGTCACACCCGTCACCGGCTCTGGAAGTTCTATCCAAACCAAAGCCGAAGAGCGAGCCCGCGGGCGCCGTGCGCCGCCGGCGGTGCACGTGACCTTGCCCGCCCGCCAGGACCATGACGGCATGGGAAAACTATGCCTGGGGCTCCAGCCGCTCCGCGCCGGGGCTGTCTCCGCGCGTGCGAGGCGCAGGCGGAGGCGGAGCGCGGCGGAGAGGTGCTCGCTCCGACGCCCGGGGACGTGGCCTGCGAGGGTGAGGGTGAGTGCTGGCCCCGCCGCCCGCGGGCCCACGGGGCAGGCGGGAGGGGGCTCTCGGTGCAGCGGCGGGAGGTGCGTGCGCGCGCCCCTAGCGAGGGGTCCCGTCTGACCGCGTCTGCCTGCGGTAGTGTAACGTGGACGTTAGGCTGCGCTCCGTGGGATGACAATCAGAGTTGTAGTGTTTAGTGAGCACCTACCTACCTGTGCCAGGCGTTGCCAGGCTTGATGTGCAACCCTTCTTCGTGACAACTCCATGCGCAAGGGGATCTGGGCGTAGGGACCCCAAAAGCTTGCCCTGGGTTGCACAGCTCGTGACTGATGGGAGGGCGACCTGCACCGGGTAAATATGAAACCAAAATACGAGTTAGGCATCATAGTTCGTAGTAGGCACGGTCTCAGATCGTTTGAGTACATTATTTAATAGCTCTTCACAACACTTTCAAATGAAATACTCTGTGTGTGCTGTTCAGACTCGCCCACTGCCATCACGCCGGCCCTGTAGGACGGGGTGGAACTGCCCCTGTGAGCTTCCAGACTGTAACTGTCCATAGCAGGAGAAAGCCCATCTCATGGGGACCCTGTGTGACAGAGTTGAACGGACCACAGGCTCCTGTGGAAGCAGATTGACAGGCAGTTCCTTACGTAAAGATGCTGATGGAGTCATACTGCTGACTTTGCTTTAGCAGCCAAATGCTTTCCCCTTGCACCACCCACCCACTCACCCAGCCAGGCCATCCGGTCCTAGGGACCCAAGATTGTCCATCTTCCCAGGACCCGGCAGTCTCATGTTTCTCCCAAGTGGTGGGTTTGAAGCACCAACTTGGAAAGGGTTAGCAGCTTAATGCTTAGTCCACGGCATCACGCGGGCTCCTAAACACATTATAAAGATGTATTTTAATTACTTGTCTCTAAGACTTGTCTGGACTTCCCTCTAATTGCTCTAGCCCCATGGTTTCTGTATCTTATCTCAGAGCTAAACTATTGCTCCTAATGTTGGGCTCTCCCCTAACACCATCAGTGAGCACTTCCCAACCTCAGTGTGGCCCTCCTCTGTTCTTTAACCACAGGTTCCTGCTTGGAACCGTTCCAGGGGCCACCTTGCTTACAGATGAGATGGTCTCCTGACACTGGCCACCTTCCCCAGATGCCCTGTGTTCCGCTGCTGGGCGGAACCAACAGCAGCAGCGATGACAATGTCCTAGCTATGCTAGCCTAGAGCAGTGGTTCTCAGCCTTCCTAATGCCGCCACCCTTTAGTGCAGTTCCTCGTGTTGTGGTGCCCCCAACCATAAACTTATTATCATTGCTACTTCATAACTATAATTTTGCTACTGTAATTAATTGTCATGTAAATATCTGATATGCACGATGTATTTTTCATTGTTACGAATTGAACATAATGAAAGCATAGTGATTAATCACAAAACAATATGTAATTGTATATTGTGAAGTATTTATTTTTAATGACAAATCAATGAAATTTTGTCTTGAAGCTTGGTGTAGCATGGGTAACAGTCTTCACACCGGTGGGCTCATATGTGTCCAGCCTGGAGACAGATAGAGGAGTTGTGTGTCCATTCCTAAAACCAGCGGAAATATACCTAGACTAATACACCCGTGGTCTTAGGTGACCCTGTGAAAGGGTTGTTTGACTCTCAAAGGGGTAGAGACCCACAGGTTGAGAGCCACTAGCCTAAGGGGATGATGCTTAGTTAGCCAACCAATTGCTAGCCAATCAATCCCAACTCATGGCAGCACCTGTGTGTCAGAATAGACCTGTGCCTCACTGGAATTCCAGTGACGGATATTTTGAAAGTAGATTGCCAGACCTGTCTTCCCGGAGCTCCAACCTTTTAGCAACCACTTGCACTACTCAGGGACTCCGATGCTCAGTTCAAAAAGCCAAAAACCAAACTCACTGTCATGGAGTCAGTGCTGACAGAGAGTGGCCCCCTGTGGGTTTCCAGGACTATAACTCTTTACGGGAGTAGAAAGCCCAGTCTTTCTCACTTGGAGCTGCTGGTGGTTTCAAACTGTTGACTGTTTGGATCACAGCCCAAGGTGCAACCACTATATGACCTGGGCTCAGTCAGTAGTGCTAAAAGTCTGCCTCTTTTGCCCACCCATCCTTCCCTAACCTCCTTTGTCATCTGCTCATCAGATCCATTACTCCGACTTTGTGCTGTCCACTCCGCAGTCAACCCCACTCCTCCACTTTTCAGAACTCTCACTCGGACACATCCCATTCACCTCAATTTGTTTCTTTTCTCTCCATCTCAAAGCTGTGAGACCAGCTATCTTCTCATCCTTAAGCCTCTTTTGTCAAATGCTATAAAAAAATAACTTGCTCATCTTAAGAAAGCCAGATAGCACAAAAATGTTGAAAGTGAAAAGTAAAACTCCATACATTCCAGCCCCTTTATTAATCCTTTATGTCCTTTTGGAAACTTCCCACACATGCAAGCACATTTCTCTTTATTGACATCATCTTTTAACTCACAAGAGCTTCATACGTTACATCCCATGTCACAACTTGATTTCTCCCCTTAACTCTGTCTCATGACCCTCTCACCATACCATGTATTCAGACCTACTCTGTTGTCACCGTGTGGATGGACTGTTATTGCTTTCACAAACCTGGACTCACCGTTGATACCACTAGGTCTCCAACTGATACTCGGCTAAGTTCCCTGAGAAGTAGTTACCTGGTTCCTGGCAAACACTTCCATTCTTGACTGCCTCGTTATTCCTTTCGTCCCACCTAGTCTGGTTGGGCACAGGTGATTGTGCTTCTTTCCTGCAGCCCCAATGCTTCCTACCCAGAATGCCCATCCCAGATGACAGCTCCTCCTCCACACACACACACCTTCCCCAACTCCTGCCTCCAGATCAAAGGCCTACAAACTTTGCTTTTCTTCTGGGAGATGGCTTGCCACATACCTCGTATTCCTATAATCAAGTTCTAGCCTTTATTTATTTTTCAAAGGGATGATATGTTAAATCTTTTTCAGAGCAAGTAATCTTCCTGGATTTGTGTGCCCCAGGCAATGCAGTACTTGTATACAGCGTCCCTGCGAGCTAATGCATCCTTGGTTCTAGGGCAGAGAAATAAAGTGAATATCATACCAAGTTTTTGGTTTCCCAGTGCAGATGAAAATTATGTTTAAACTATTCTGTAGTTGATGATGAAATTTGTTGAAAAGCATGGAGGTTACTTGTTAAAGTAAGCCAGTCTCTAACAACTGCAGGTTCCGTAGGCGCAACTGTATGGCTATAATATATAATGACTATAGTAAAGTGATGGAAAAGAGGAGGGATAGGAAAGAAGATAAAATAAAGGAGTCAGGCACATTCATGATAACATGCTCACCTCCGGGATGGCCATGATCTCAGCAGCCAGGTCCGCGCAGAAAGAGAGAATCTTTACTGTCTTGGGATATTTGTAGGTAGACATAAGACATGCATATTCAGTAGTTACATAGGTCACAAGGTGGGTGGTAACCACAGTAAAGTCCCTGAGCTCACAGGTGAGGAAACCTGATGCCTGCATGATAACATGAATGTCTGCTTCTACAGGCAGACAGAATCAACCATGTGCTCCAGTTAAGGTAGTATAACTGTTAGGGCAAAATCTGTGCGAGTAATATTTAAAGCAGGATGATGTACTTGGACTTTATCTCTAACTTACTAAAAGCGGTGTCTTTCTTACCGTGGAATATTAGCTTTCCAGATTCCCTGTTATAAGTTAGGGAATATAGTCCTGGTCTTAGTTCCCTCGGTGTTGGTTTCCCGCAGTTACTTTGAGGAGTAAGGTGCGCCTTACCCAAGTCATGGTGTTTTCAAGGGCCTCGTGTGTGTGTGTGTGTGTGTGTGTGTGTGCGCGCGCGCGCGCGTGTGTGAAAGTGGGACATTGACTAAGGAAGACAGAAGAATCGATGCATTTGAACCGTGGTACTGGTGAAGACTATTGAGAGTGACATTTATTGCCAAAAGGACAAACTGATCTGTCTTCAAAGAAGTACAGCCAGAATGCTCCTTAAAGGCAAGGATGGCAAGACTTTGTCTGTACCTTGGACATGTCAGAAAAAATCAGTCCCTGGAGAAGGCCATCTTGCTTGGTGGAGCAGAGGGACAATGAAAAAGAGGAAGACTGTCAATGAGTGAGGTAGACACGGGGCTACAATCATGGGCTCCAGCACGAGAACAAAGGGGAGGCTGGCACAGGACTGGGAAGGGTCTCTTCCTGTTGTGCACGGGGTTGCTATGGGTTGGACCAACTCTATGACACTGCTCAACAACGTAGCTTATGTACAAGAGCACTATGAAAAGTTTGGACATTGTGAGAATAACCGAAATGTGACAGACAAGTAAACACGTACTCTTGGAAAACTGAGGGACAGACTTACTCGACACTGGCTGGCCACAAACCTTCAATTTATAAAAATCTCAGTATCTACATCGTGCAAGAAAACTAATCACAATGAAGCAAGATATGTCTGTAACACGCACGTGTACACACACACTTGCCCTCTAGAGGAAAGCTTAGTGTACATGGGTCCTGTGTGCATTCCCAGGGCTGCGGTAGAGCCGCTGAGTCAGAGCCCAAAGTCAGCACCCTAGCCTTGACTCAAGAAAACTGATTTCCATTTTCTGAGGTCTGTTTTCTCACCTGTTAAGTGGGGATGAGCGGATCAGCCTCTCCGACTGCGGAGATGACAAACCTCAAAGCTTTAACACAAGAACACACAACTTACATGGAGAGTCAGTACTCTCTCCCTCCAGATCGGGGATTGCAAATTCAGATGGCAACAAGAATTTTCAAACAGAAACCAATGAGTGGGGTGCAAGAGGCTGGGTAGCAGGGTGGACTGTGGACACTGCACTATGTACTCCATCTCAAGGGGGTTCCAGTTGGTACCTGGTGCAAATACCAGGTTTTTAAGAAGAGCTGGAAGTCTTCATTGTAACAGAAAATTTCAAAAGTTTGACATTGGCAACAATT